AAGAAAATCACCGAATTTGCATATTTGATTTATTTTGAAACTTTAGGGGTCTAAGGGTTAATAATTCAGAACTTTAGGGGATTAAAAATTAATTATCCAAAACTTTAGGAGTCAACAATTAATTATTCGAAACTTTAGGGGGCCATTTAAACAAATTATAAACTTTTAGGGACTTAATTACAAAATTCAAAAATGACCCAAATTAATTAATTTTCAAACTTCAAGGACTAAATTATTAAATTCAAAACTTTAAAAGCCCAATTTGGATGAATTTTAACCTTAAGGGCTGAATCATTAAAACTTTAAACTTAAGGTTCTGAATTATTAAAGCTTTAAAGGGACTGAAACATTAAAAACTCATTTTAAAAATTGCAACCCTAACCCTAATTTGAAAATTGCAAACAAGGGCCTAAAGTAACCTAATTTTCACTACAAGCGATCCCAAAATCTAGAGCGCTGCTCGCCTTATTGCTACAAGCAGCGATGCAGCGCCACTGCCGCATGGCAGCTAATTTTTTTTTTAAACATAATTGAAATTCTAGAAAACCAATTGAATAATTTTCAAATTTAACAAAACTAATATCAGAATCGTTAAATTTGAAAACAATAAAATTATCAAGAATGAAATTAAAATTTCGATTCTCAATGATTCAACATGAATATGCTCTGATACCACTTGTTGAAAAATTCTTTACTGTCATAATGATCACTCATGTTGGATCATCAAGAATTCTTCAACTAAAGCAGAAGCGTACTCGAATCAAATATAATTAATTTAATGAATGAATCCAACGGTTTTAATCTTCCAGATCAACACGTTGTTCTTTTGTTTCTCCATGAAGATGAGAGTCAGAACAGAATGAACAAAACGTATGATCCGGGAACCATAACCGTATATACATATACTAACGGCCCGTTAACCTAATTCAGTCCATCATGAAATTAGGAACATGCATGGTTTCTACACATAAATGCCCACATTTTAAAATGTGATGTTTCAAAACCCAAAATATCAAAACATTATTTGATCACTTTAAACGGAATTAACCAAAATTGATTGCCTTTAATTTAATATACAATATTTCACATATAAGCCCAAATGCTCGATTAAAATCCTTACAAGAATGTGATAAGTCACTCAATATTAACACCCTACTCAACCCTCCGATATTTGGGGAAAAAAAGAAAAAACAAAGCATTTTATATAAAATCATGATATTTATGTAATAAATATGTGTGATCAACCTAAGTAATCGAAAAAACATGGATGAAAATATAATTAACGTTTTCAATTTTCTTTCTCCAATATGTTCACTCAACCATTCTTGACGGGATACATATCATTTTCATTATGATTGGCATTTATTGCATTCTGCCAAGACCATAAAATTAGTTATAAATAATTAGCAACATCTATAATTTTGTTTGAGACCTTGCAAAATTTATAATTACTTATAAATTGGTCAAATTCTATTTTTATATATTTTATCCTCTTATTATTTATAAATTTCATAGAACACACAACTTATAAAGAAATAAAAGCTCTGTCAAACATTCTTTAAATTGAACGTGTTGTTTTGAAATCGAAATTCGTAGTAGCATATGAAGTTATTGAACAATTGTGATCAATTCTCCAAATGAGGCATCAGTTGTAACCTCAATGCGATCTTAAAAACAAAAAATAACCATAAAAAGAAATTGTCACAGCAATAACAATGCAAAAATCCAGTAAACATGAGATTCTTCAAAAGGATTTTCCGGTTTCTAATTTTCTTGAATTTTCGCAGCCTTAGAAGTGGGACTATGGATTTCGTGAAATATTTTGTGTTTATAAAAGTTTTTTATTGGTAAGATTGTGGGCGGTAATAAATAAAAGAGACAAAAACATAAATTCGAAGATGATGAAAGATATGATAATTTTAATGGTCTTATTTTTTAAATTTTAAAAAGAATAATTGTTAAAAAATGTGAGAAGAATAGTATTTTTTGTTTAGATAAACAAGTGCTCAGCCCAATCTGCCCTTCTTCTTAATTTTATGTACTGGAAAATCAGACTATTGAGAATTAATTGTTAAAATCAGACATTGGAAATTAATTAATTGGAAACTAAAATTTTATTATGTATGTATCAAACACACGAAGAACCCCATGAAATCCTATATCATGTTCTTCTTCTAAACTCTTGCAGTTCTTACTTAATTTCAGAAGGTACAAAGTAGTTGTAGATTTGAGTGATATGGAGTAAGATTTAAGTAGAAACATGAGTATGCTCTGCAGTTGCACCTTCATGGTGAA